GGAGCATTGCTCACAGGATCTGTTGTGGGGAGGGGAAGGGAAAGGAGATGGTAAGCCGCTCTGAGACTCCTTTGGGTAGTGAACAGCGGGGCATAAATCTAGTCTCTTCTCTTCTTCTTCTCAGTCTCTTCACACAGTGAAGATCCTTGTGCTGTGGTGGCAGCTGCCGCCGAAGCAACGTTTAAAAAAAAATCTGCACAGCCGATCTGAAGCCTTGCTGGACAAAAGCTCCGCCTGGCTTTGCACACTCCATGTAAACACTTAGCAGGCACTAGGAAAGCTGTTGGCAGGCACCCACGGGCACCACATTGGAGACTCTTGCTTTAGACAAATCTGCCTGCGTGCTCCCGTTGCCGAATTGGAAACACAGTCAGAGTCCGACATGTTAGATGAATCTCTGTTTAACGCATTGAAACGGAACACAGGGAGCTGAGTGCCTTTGCACTTCAGCAATTCCAAAGCTGTATTCTGCCATAAACAGGAAGGGCGGAAGGTCTTATACCCCAAATGGCATCACATATAGTTTACACATTAGAGAATCTCTAATTGGTACCAAGCAGTTAAGCATCATACCAGCGTCATTTGACTTTAAACCTTACTATTGGTCATGTATGTCAGAGATTGTATTTGCTTATCTGCTCTTCAGAGCAACGGGCACATTAGGGAACGCTGAGATCCTTTCTGACCTTAGCGAAGCTAGTCCCTCTTTCTTTTTTTTCCCTCGTGTCTGGGGAGTTGGGCGATAAGGGTTGCGATTCACATTCAGCTTCGCTCTTGGCGTCCTTGCAGCTCCTTGAATACGCATTCCATTCTTTTTGCACCCTAATTCTATCCCCAGAATGCTTTCCCTTAATATAGAGCTTCATACGCAAAAAGTGCAGTTATAAAATATATATCCTGCTATAAGTTTCTCTAGTCAGAAGATCCTAGGTTACACACCAAGATCTGGATCTATTATAGTTAAACCTTTGGAGGCACAGGGACAGCTGTCAGCATATAAACATGTCGGAGGAAATGTCAGAACCCACATTCAGAAAGCACATTCATTTCCCCCTTGTCCTGCAGTCGTGCCAGGTGGAGCTTCTGTAACCTCTTATAAAGTAACTTGGACAATGGAGAGGTGTGCAGAGCGATGTCGGTCAGCCAGAGCCCCTGGGAGATGGAGGGCAGGATAAAACTATAACGACACACCTCCTCGTGGGACACGGTTGTCAGAAAAGGACTGCAGCTCTCTCAAGCAGACCGAGTTCTGAGGTCACGAAAGTCTCCCCGATAACCGGGTTTGCCCTTAGCTAGCTCCCCCACCAAATAACCACCGACACCTCTCAACGGCAGCCCTGGGAGTCCGATAATGACTCGTGGCCGTCGCTGACCGGTGCCCCCGTCCCCTTCTCAGGTTCGTCTGCAGCAGGAGCGGGCACGTTTTGGAGATCGATTACAAGAACGTCGCCGTCAGAAACGCCCGGCGCCTGCTGCCGTTTGACCTGCAGCACTCCCACCGGCGAGAGAAGCAGACCTTCAGCTCAGGTGCGGACGGTGGGGGTGGGAGACAAAAGCAGATTATTCCACAGTTGCTCACGGAACGGTGAGGAAAGGGTGAAGGAGCTCTGGGTATGTTTAGCCTGGAGAGAGGACATGAGAACCATCTTCGAGTACTTGAAGGGCTGCCCTATGGAGGACGGGGCGGAGTTGTTTGCTGTTGCGCTAGAAGGTTGGACCAGAACCGACGGGTTGAAATTAAATCCGAAGAGTTTTCGGCTAAACATTCTAAGCAAGTCTGTCATTAAACAGAATTCCCTTTTCTTTGAAGAACTGCTCAGCAGCATGAAATACTGACTACCCGTTTGTATCTGTTCTTTGTTGCCTTGCGAATAACAAGTCTTGAGCCAAATTTTCATCTTTTATAAAGTGCAGGGAAGTGACAAGCAAAGATCTGTTGCCTGGCAAAGTTGAATCATCCTTTCTGACACGCCCAGGGAACTGCTGATCGCCACTTTGGGGTCAGGAAGCAGTTTTTCTCCAGGCCCTGCCTTCCTGAGTGCCATCTCTGCTGCCAGTTCTTCCTTTGCAATGCATCTTGGCTCCTTGTTCTTCCAGGTCCTGGGATAGCGCTCAACAGTATCTGTCTCTCGTCGAGTTTCTGCGCCACGGCCTCCGAAGATGGCTACCTGCGCTTGTGGCCACTGGACTTCTCTGAGGTCTTTCTGGAAGCAGGTATGCTGATCTTAAGGTTCAGTCTATCAGGGCCGTGTGTGTGTTTTAAGTCATGCCTCCCAGGCTAAGTTCTGTATAATAAAAGGGAACTTGTATCCTCATTTTTTGCATCCCTCCCCCCAGTCACTATTTACTTGCCGCGTTCAACTCCACAGGCATGACCATATCTATTCACCGCCATGTCTTCTGTGCAGTCCCGCATGGGAATGCACAAACGTAGGCCAGCAGTCAGACTGTGGACGCACGGTTCCCATGGGCGCCTGCACAGAACACTCAATGAACAACAGCTACGGGTAAGTGCAACCCTGTTTTCATTGCCGTCGTGTCTTTTGTGCAGTCTCACATTGGAGCTGAGCATGCACAGGCCAGCAGCCGGACTGCGCATGCGCGGTTCCCAGGTGGGACGGCACAGAAAAAGACTCAACAAACAGCCGTTACCAGTGAGCGCAACAGTATTTTTCTGCTTCCTTTGGGGACTTCCTTGTATTACCTGACCCATCTCTGTCGAGTGACCTGCCACGAGCTATGCGAACCTGTACCTCTTCGTTCTCAAAACGTCACATTAAACCCCATCACAGTGTAGGAAACCAAAACAGTCCAGTGGAGCCTGAGCGGTGGGTGTTGTCTTCTGACACACTTCCGATGATGTCAGGGAGTGTGGTATATGCAAATGAGTTATGCTAATGAGTTATGCTAATGAGCTCCTGCACCTCTTTTTCTATGAAATGACCCCTGGCTACGGGTAAGTGCAACCCTGTTTTCATTGCCGTGCCTTTCGTGCAGTCTCACATTGGAATTGAGCATGCACGGGCCAGCAGCTGGACTGCGCATGCGCGGTTCCCATGTGGGACTGCACAGAAAAAGACTCAACAAACAACCGTTACCAGTGAGCGCAACAGTATTTTTCTGCTTCCTTTGGGGACTTCCTTGTATTACCTGACCCATCTCTGTCGAGTGACCTGCCACGAGCTATGCGAACCTGTACCTCTTCGTTCTCAAAACGTCACATTAAACCCCATCACAGCAGCCCTGCGTCTTTGTCCCCAGAGCACGACAACCCGGTGACTTCCGTCAGCATCGGTCCGGACAACCTGAAGGTCTTGTGCACGACGGCCTCCGGGAGCGTGGGCTGCCTGGACATCCAGTCCCGGGACTACAGCACCGTCATGCGCTCCCACAGGGATTCCGTCTTGGCGTTTTCGGTGGAGGGGCTCCAGCAGGAACTGGCGACCGTTTCTCAGGACGGCAGCATCCGCATCTGGAACCTGGAGACGATGCAGCAGGTGGGCGTCGTCCTCGATGTCAACAGAGCCCCCCCCCCGAGGGCTCGAATTACGCTCTCAGAAAGGATTGGGGTTCTTCTGAAGTCCGCAGTGGTAGCTCCGTCCCAGGCCCGTAACCACAGTGGGGCATTTGAGGATGGAACCCAACCGCCCACAAGCCCTGCCCCACCACTTGATGATGCCAGACAGCCCTACCCCCCCAGTGCGCCTAGCCCCGCAGCCCCGGGGAGGCTGGGGGAAGAAAGGGAAGCCGCCCTGCAGCTTCTGGCCAGTTTCACTCTTGTCCATCAGCTGTTAGGTTTAAGGGTAGAAAGGAAGAGAAGAAGAGATTGGATTTATACCCCTCCCTTCACTCGGAGTCTCCTTTCCAATTTTTTGGAAAAAAACAAAAATGGCTTCAGGAAAAAAACGGGGGGAAACGGGTTTTTCCCGAATTTTTCCTGTTCTTTTCTGGGCCTTCACATCTCTAATTATTACTAATATTATTTGTAACTTTTAGGGTTTTTTAATAGCTCTCTCCTCTCTATGTGGTCTGTGAAAGAGGATTGTGATATTTTATGGAGGATTTCAGCTGCTCTAAAAGTATTACGCTATCATTGCCGGTTTCACAACTGATGCAGTAATAGATCATAATTTTATATATCTTACTCTATTATCTGGTTATTTGATTTATTAAATAAATATACCAGAGGTCATTTTGGGGGGGATCGCGGGGGATTGCAGTTCTCCCGGGTGAAGTAGAGCAGGGGTCATTTCGGGGGGGATCGCGGGGGATCGCAGTTCCCCCGGGTGAGGTACGGGGGGCGGGGCACATGACGAAGCCCCGCCCCCGGCTTCCGGCCGCCCCGCTTCCAGCCCTCATTCAGCCAGGAGGAGGCAGGAGAAGAGGGAGGGTAAGTTGCTTCCTCCCTGCCTCTCCCCACCCCTGCCTGCCTGGGGCCAGGGAGGGCCTTCGCGGGGCTTCCTTGCACTCCTGCCGGCCTTGCAGGTCCACCGCCGGGCCCC